ACACACACGACCCCTTTTCTATGGATAAAATTCTTTTTATGGTATTTTAAAATCTTTCCTTCCTTTACCTCCTTTTCTCCCCCCCGCCCCAACTCACACACCTGTCTTTTCTCTCCCCTTATTTACAGTCTCCACTGGCATTAATAATCTGAGATGAACATAATAGAAAAAGTGACTTGGTCGAACTGAGTGCCTCAGGGTTAGCTTTCTCAAGATAGCCAATTCCCAACAGTACTGAAGGTTCAAGTGATCAAGGAGTAAGAAGTAATTTTTGTTAAAGATACCGCATTGTTAAAAAAAATCACGAATTGTCATCTGTCCTGCTCTTGCTCTAATTGCATTCTACGCAAAAAACAATAATGCCTGCATGTGAAAAAAGCTGACTAACGGATACACTTTTACTGCTTCAAGAGGCTAAAAAGGATCCAAAATGATGTCAGCCTTATCTCCAAGTGCCCTGGCTCTTCTTGGTTTGTCCAGCTTTACAGTTAATCAGAAAATGTGTGTGACTGTATTGTTCTTCAGATGGGGAGGGAGAAAGCAAAGTAGGTAAGGAAGCCACATTATTGATTAATAACCAGAAAAAATTGTGGTACAAGAGCACCAATGCCAAAAAAAGATTTCTAATTCGGGTGTATTCCTTTATCTCCCATACGTGTGCATAGATTTTGTTCAGTGGAGCAGATTGCGTTACCTCCCTTTTTAGAGTTAGTACTACTTCTGTTCAGCTTTCTTGTAATATCACTGTGGTATCACAATGTGTTTTCACATAAGTGAGAGCCATTTGCCACCTAAAGACACAAATAGTGGTCACCACCTTTTGACTCTAAAACTACATGCAGTTCTTGCAGTCTAGAGGTTTGCTTAGCATGCCTGTCTATCAGGTCAGAGAAAGGAAAAACCCTCCCTTTGTCTCGAGGCTGTTGTAGAATATGAGAGGAGATTATCAGAGGGATCCAGGGACTGCAGAAATTAGCCACATTAAAATGTTGTGACAAAACTACATCCACATGCAATGACCTTGTGTCAGGGCACTTTGTCTTCACAATGCAAATATAAATAAATACAACAGATACATGCATGAATACATACATACGTATGATACAAATCTCAGGGTGTCACTCTTTCACTTAACTCATGCTTGAGTTGCTCTCCAGGTAATAGGGCTGCGTACTGCTTCGCTAAAGATAGAGCCCAAAGCCAGTGATTTATTTTTTCCCATATCTGATCGTGTACTACTTTTTTTCAGTTCGTAGCTCGCTCGCTCTCTCTCTCACACACAGATTTGTAACATTGAAGAGTAACTACTTCCAAAAACATGCCTTGTCACAGCTTGTGTGTTACCAAGGTGCATCTAATAATAGCAAGAATGGGAGTGAAACAGAAAGTTGTTTGTTTCCTCCTTCCTTTAGCAACAGTATCTTCTTTGTGTTTCATATTCCAGTTTTCTTGCTTTGATTTTTCTTCTCAGTAAATCGTTAGTTTTATACCCAGGTCTTTGTCTCCTTTTCTCTTTGACTAAATCACTGCAGGATTCTATATCTAGGCTTCATCAGAACCAAGGAGATGAGCGTGCTTTGTTGCTTTAAACCTAGACTTAGCTTCCCCCAGTGTTTCCAGGTAAAAGTTCTCAGCAAAGGATTAAAAGTTAGGAAACACTTAAATGTAAAACTTTTGGGAAATCGTAGGGTACCCTTGGAGAGTCATGGATGACAACCTGTAGCACAGATCATTATGGAAGTAGAGTTGAAAGCCTTTATTTAGGACTTCTTTCCTTTTTAAAATATAGTAGTTTGGGCATAGCTATCTAACAGATTAAATAAGTAAAAAATGACTGATATCTGTATACAATATGCCAATACTTGTTTTTTCTGTAATCCTGTTCAAATTTTCACTTCAATCCCCATCTACTACTATTTGGGGACAAAATGCGAAGCCCACTGCTGCCTGGAAAAAGAAAGAGCTCTCCCCCCCCCCCCCTTC